TGCACGCAATTTAGGGAGGGCGGGAGGTGCTTTTCAAACTATGTAAGACATATCATTTTATTTTACCGAGCGGATGTACGCGAAGTATTTTTTTGCCAATGTAACGACGCCCTCCCCACTCCCAAACACCAGACCCCAGTCTATATACTTATACTTATTTTTGTCTTTCTTTAAAATCTTTAAGATATAAACATAAAATGCCTACGCGTACATAGTGTGTTCGGTATAAACTGAACAAACCCCTTCACCTAGTCGTGATGCAGTCCGTCGAGCCCCGGAATTTTATTATAGTATATATAGTATTAATCATACATTGATCTTTCTAAAGGTATATAGGCCATTTAATCAATTTATGGCGTGATCGACTTAGTTAGGACCCTTATTTACGTTGTGTTTGTATAGTAACTTAGTTCTTTTAGGTGTGTCTTGGAAGAATAAATATTCACGAGAGCAATCGAAAGCTGTTGGTAGCGTCTCATAAGCTAAAGAAACCCGTTCACGGAGACAGAGCTCAAAAAAATTAAGAATAATACAATAAATTGTCCCTATTCCACTTGTATCAGGTTCAAAACAGTCAATTCCTTATTAACTAATCCCTTTCCACTTGGAAAAGGCTCACAATATATATATCGAATACCAGATACAAGGGCTTCGCTCTACCAAATTTAAAAAAAGTGTGGAGGAGGCAAACGGCTCCGCACACGCCGTGCACGGTGAGTTCCCAACATTTTAATGCGCTCCCCCCGAAGGCTATGTTAAATTGGGAACTGGACCGCAGTCCACAGCAAAATAACTGGCGAACCAGTAAAAGAGGACTTAGACCCTTAGTAGTGCGTAAGCACAAACATCGACCGAAGTCGTGCATTTCAATGCGTGTAAACGCCATACAGAATACGATCAAATCCAGCCACAATGAATGTACGTCACACGAGTTAGGCTACAATAGGCACATTGCCCATAAAAAGCCCTCCGTGAGCGCCACCACCTGCCAGACTGCCGTTCCTGCAGACGTGATGTAATTGTAAGGCGTCACCACCAATTGCTTGGTCAGCACGGCCAATTGGCCGCAGAGCGTGTCATGAGTCTACCGCTCACCTCAAGGGAATGGGGTCCCACGTTGCATGGCTTTCGGCCGCAGCCTTGAGAGCCTCCTCAGATTTCCACTCCAGCTACCACCCGCATGAGGTCGACACATATGCTCCACTATAATAGTAATAATTCGCCATCAGAAAGGGTTTGTGTCACTGACGTTGAGTATATACATTTTTCGATCATGTTTGTCTCACCCACCAACAAGTTGCCTTCAATATTTCAAAGGTGGGAACTTTATAGAGATATATTATTATAGTCAAACCAAGACGCAGGAAGCGCCATTGAGAATAGCGACCCGCCAAACAACTATCGCAGATATGCAATGTTGCAGAACGCAACAAGCATCAATACGACTATCGTCGGGCGTACACCATCCCAAGGTCCCCCATACAGTCCCAGCAGACATCACCACCCGCATACCTCCATCGACCAGAACCACAAGATGCGTCAATTCAGGTGCAGCACACCCGCAAATCCATCACAAGACGCAATACTGCAAGTAGCAGTAAGCATCAATGCAACTATCATACGGATGGCGCCTCCTCACAACACACCTACATGATCCGTATCGACTTTGGTAACAAAATTGATAATGTTGATAACTAAAAATACCACCAACGTATCATAGTATTACGGTACTAAGACGTCAGTAGCCAAAACTTTACGTATCATAGCGCTATTGCACTAAGACATGAAGTTGAGTATGCTTGCTGCTCTTAAAAGTACTACCAAATACACTCACCCTAATCCGAAAGATAGCCGAAGTATCATAACGCTATGCGCTAAGACGTCGCCCACAAACGGTAGGGGTGTGCGATGTCCACAGGCAAGTCGTATTGCTACAATAAACCCGCTTACCACCGACACTAAGATGATATGTCTAAGACACATCGGTCGGCGAGTCCAAGTTTACCTCGTTCTCGGAGGCTGTGAAGCAATTTACCCGCCACTATAATAATCCTTTTCAAGTCCCATTTCTTTCAATATAATGCTTTTACATATTTGAGACCTTCCACATATTTGCTTTTTTTCATAGACCATCTACTATATAAAAATAAGTCGGGTTTTCCTTCCTGACGCTATAACTCCAGAACGCACGAACCGATTTCCACGGTTTTGCATTCGTTGGAAAGGTCTTGGGCTCCGTGAGGTTTATAGCAAAGAAAATTCAGGAAAATTTCAACAGAAAAGCGGGAAAATCTTTTTTCACATACAGCGCTATCTCTGATACATAGCATGTACTACAAACCAATATTTTAAGTAGATGGCGCCGGTGCGTTTTACGGATTTTATCGCGTATATTAACTTAATTTCAACTTTATTTTTTTTAATAACATTAATTTTGACAGTTTCATAAACAGATTAGTCAGACCTATGGTCAAGCCAAAGAGTATAGTAGGTCAGGCCAAAGACAATTTTTTTTTAAATGAAGGTAAATATAACTTAGAGTCATTAAATAATATTATTAAATAATAATAATAATTATTATTATTTTATATTAATATTAATTCGGAACATTCTTTCTTTTATATCTTTAGAGTCGATGATACAAATGAGCCAAATGAAACATATCAGTGTTTCGGAATATTTCAGTGATCAAGATGCAAATGTTCCAATCCCAAAAATGATACATTTTGCCCACCTCCACAGTGTACCGTACAAGGTAGATGAATAACTAATTTTATTTCTAGAAAATTGTATTGATGTCCAACGTCCACGACAGCGAAATATGATAGTAGGTACGAACGGGACATATTATGCAAAAATACCGATACGAGTACAATAATAAACATAAATAAAAATATTTATCTTTGTACTGACTAATTTAGTAACCATTAAACAAATACAGCAATTGTTAATGGAATATTTTCCTACAAATTATTGTGTGTATTTTATTTAATTCTGACCTAGAGATTTAGAGTAAATTGACGGTTCTCATACCTAGCCTAATTTGTAGCATTTTGACTCTCTTATCATGCTATGCTAGGAAATTGTCGAATTCCCACTAACCCTGTATAATATGGTTTTTAGCGGGAGAGTAAATTAATTAGATTTTTGTGTTTGATTAATAAACATCGTTTCATAAATTCGTACCCATGTTTTATTGAGCTAAAACATACCTTATAATTATCGCTTACGTAATATTTACAAATACTTACATAATCAAATTAATAACTTAAGTATAACAACGCATAGGCGTCAATTTTACGCTTGGCATAATGGGCATTGAGCGATACACGTGCTCTATACCTTCCTTATTTGTACTCTAAGTTCTGAATACTCTTTATTTATTGTTCTAAGGGGGCCATTAATTAAATTACTTTATTATATACTCTTTGGAGGGGATCATATTTCTGACAAGTCAGAAATCCAAATGGATTTTTCGGATTTTGAAGGGTATTTCATGTGACAAACCGGTATTGTGTTCACTGTGAAATTGTGAAAAAAAGTAAAAAAAATTAGTTATTCGTTTCCCTACATTTACCATCAAATCAATCACGTGTATTGTGCAAATTTTTATTCAATTTCAACAGCAGGCATTTGTCTTTAATGTGGTAAGTTGAACTGTGTAAATTATGTGGATCGTGCATTTGAGGTTAAATTCACCACTCTGTCCATAGTCCAAGATGCCTAGAGGACGACGTGTGAACATCGGCCGCCGCACAAGACATGCAAGCCAGCAACAAGCGTATTCACAGAACTTAAGCGAAGAAAGACAAAATATAATAAGAGAAAATGCCCGATTGAGACAACGCGTGAGCACACGAAGATCATTGGCATCATACAATCGCTTGGCATTCCAATATGATCCCACTGCGAACTACAGTGATGATGAAAATTTAGATATTGGACCAATGACGACTATATAGATTGTGCTGCGCAAGTGGAAAAGTCAAACTGGATCCATTACTTACACCACCACAGCCACTGCAACCATTGTTCGATGGAAGTGATCCCGATTCCAGCCATTTTCTTCAACACATCCTTGAATACAATAACTGCTTTCGCATGACTTCCTTTGGAGCTAATATCATTCGAGAAGGCGGCTTCATGCCGACTTGCAAGGTAAAAGATACAACACACATAACCAATCACTCACAGCAACATAATGAATTGCAACACATAACAACTACATATACACCACACACTACATCATCACACGATCAGAAGTTACACCGTATTCTTCAACAAATGATTGTTTGCAATTACAGATACAAGGACAAATATATCATTTGCATGGTCCAATGGTGCCAACACCAGATGAACCGCATCAATTTCTGCAAATATATTTCATTTTGTCGATGGTGGATCAGCTGAATGTGCGGTGCAATATACAGGGAACACAACAGTTAAAGAGACGAATTATTGAACAGTTGCAAGCATTTTTTTACGCTAATAATGCTGTGGTTAATATGTTCAAAACAGCATTGGAACGAATGCCATCGGATACGCACAAATTTGTCATAAGAGCTGATTGTACCCCAACAGGTGAACATGTGCGAAGATTCAATGCACCCACCGTTAATGATGTTGCTGCAATTATTGTTGGCGATCCAACTAAGTCGCGAGACATTGTCGTTCAGCGAAGAAGCAATATCATGCATCGTGTAAACGAGACACATCGTTTGTACGATGCGTTACAATATCCAATCATTTATTGGCAAGGGCAAGACGGATACGAAATTACGTTGAAGATGGTCGATCCAATTACAGGTACAATATTCACACACTAATTATTGCTATTATTGGTTTCCACTAACAATTCATTTAATTTTGCATTTTCAGGCATATCAACGAATAAAAATCTAAGCGCAATGAATTACTATGCGTATCGTATGATGATTCGTACACATGAGAAGAATGTCATTCTGAAGTGCCGTCGGCTATTCCAGCAATTCGCTGTCGACATGTATGTCAAAGTCGAGACCGAACGTTTAGCGTTCATCCGATTCAATCAGGCAAAGCTACGATCTGAGGACTATATACACTTGCGTGATGCTATTCATTCAGATGGTGATGTTCAAAATATTGGACGTCTGACGATTCTCCCATCATCTTATATCGGAAGCCCACGCCACATGCACGAATACGCTCAAGACGCTATGACGTACGTGCGAAATTATGGAACTCCGGATTTATTTATTACGTTCACATGCAATCCGAAGTGGACGGAAATTGAACGTGAGTTGGAACCGGGCCAAAAACCGCAAGATCGCCATGACATAATCGCCAGAGTATTTCAGCAAAAACTCAAGGTTATGATGGATGTGCTTACTAAGTATCGAGTTTTTGGTGATACACGTTGTTATATGTACTCGGTGGAATGGCAGAAGCGTGGACTACCGCATGCTCATATCCTAATTTGGCTGCTGAACAAATTACATTCAAATGAAGTGGATTACATCATATCAGCTGAAATTCCTGATCCAGTCACTGATCCCCATCTACACGACATTGTGACGACACACATGGTGCACGGACCGTGCGGTGCATTAAATCCATTATCGCCTTGCATGGCTGATGGAAAGTGCACAAAACGATATCCGCGACCGTTAGTTACTGAAACAGTCACAGGGAACGATGGATATCCAGTTTATCGTCGGCGTTCAAAAGAAGATAATGGTCGAACTATCAAAGTTAAAGTTCAAAATCAAGAGATTGAGATCGGAAATGAATTCATTGTACCATATTGCCCGCTGCTATCACGAATTTTCGAAACACATGCAACCGTTGAGAGTTGTCATTCGGCCAAATCAATCAAATATTTGTGCAAGTACGTCATAAAAGGCAGCGACATGGCTGTGTTTGGTATTGCGTCGGAAAATGCGAATGACGAAATCAGCAACTTCCAAATGGGCAGATACGTCAGTACTAATGAAGCACTGTGGCGATTATTGTCATTTCAAATTCATGAAAGATATCCCACAGTTGTACATTTAGTAGTGCATTTGGAAAATGGCCAAAGAGTTTACTTCACTGAGGCTAATGCGGCACAACTAGCTGAGAGACCACCATCGACAACATTGACTAGCTTCTTTGCAATGTGTGAAGCAGATCCATTCGCAGCGACGCTGATGTACGTTGAAATGCCCAAGTATTACACTTGGAATCAATCAACAAAGAAATTCCAACGTCGCAAACAAGGAACCCCAGTTCCAGATTGGCCACAGGTGTTTTCCACTGATGCACTAGGTCGCATGTATACTGTTCATCCTAAAAATGATGAATGTTTTTATTTGCGACTGCTGTTGGTAAATGTACGTGGACCAAAATCATTTGCGCATTTGAAAATTGTGAATGGCCACCAATGCCAAACATATCGAGAAGCATGTCAACTATTGGGTTTGCTGGAGAACGATTCTCATTGGGATTTAACACTTGCGGATTCAGTTGTTTCATCAAATGCGTACCAAATACGAACTCTGTTCGCAATTATCATCACCACATGTTTTCCTTCACAACCAATTCAGTTATGGAACAAATACAAAGACGACATATGTGAAGATATCTTGCATCGCTTGCGCATTCAAACGAATAATCCTGACATCCAAATAACCGATGAAATCTACAATGAAGGATTGATTCTGATTGAGGATCAATGCTTGACTATTGCAAACAATCTACTGATTGAAGTAGGAATGATTGCGCCAAATCGATCGATGCACGATGCATTCAACCAAGAATTAAATAGAGAGCTGCAATACAATGTTGATACATTGCAGGAATTCGTTCGAAATAATGTGCCGTTGCTGAATGACAAGCAAAAAAAAGGATACGAAACATTAATGCAAGCGGTGGACAATAGTACTGGTGGTCTATTCTTCCTGGACGCACCTGGAGGAACAGGGAAAACATTTGTCATTTCATTGATTTTGGCCACTATTCGATCAAGATGTGACATAGCTTTGGCCTTAGCATCATCTGGAATTGCGGCGACTCTTCTAGATGGCGGTCGTACTGCACATTCTGCGCTTAAGTTGCCACTCAATTTAAACACAATTGATACTCCAACATGCAATATTTCCCGATCCAGTGCAATGGGAAAATTGTTGATGCAATGCAAGCTCATTGTTTGGGATGAGTGCACAATGGCACATAAGAAATCACTTGAAGCACTTAACTTCACACTGAAGGATCTTCGGCGAAATAACAACATCTTTGGCGGTTTGATGATATTGTTGGCAGGCGATTTCAGGCAGACGTTGCCAGTAATTCCCCGTGGAACGCCTGCAGATGAATTGAATGCTTGCCCGAAGGCATCACCTTTATGGAATAACGTAAAAACATTATCGCTAACCACTAATATGAGAGTTCAACTTCAAAATGATCAAAGTGCTGCACAATTTTCTAAACAATTGTTAGCTGTTGGAAATGGAAAAGTCCCAGTTGATGCAACATCTGGATTAATTACTCTTACCAACGACTTTTGCCGATTTGTAGACTCTCAATTAGCTCTTATTGAAAATGTTTTCCCAAACATTAGTGATAATTATCAGAATTATGCTTGGTTAAGTCAACGAGCAATTCTTGCCGCAAAGAATAATGATGTACACGCACTGAATTTCACCATTCAATCAAAAATTGCTGGCGATTTGTTGACATACAAATCCGTTGATTCCATAACAAATCCCGATGATGTAGTAAATAATCCAACGGAGTTTTTGAACTCTCTGGAGTTACCAGGATTTCCACCACATAACTTGCAACTCAAACTTGGTACAGTTATTATGATATTGCGTAATTTGAATCCACCGCGACTTTGCAACGGTACTCGACTTTCGGTGAAAAGACTTATGCCGAATTTGATTGAGGCAACCATTATTAACGGAAAGTACGCAGGTGAAAATGTATGTATTCCTCGAATACCAATGATTCCGACTGATCTTCCGTTTGAATTCAAGCGATTGCAATTTCCAGTTCGCCTTGCGTTCGCAATGACAATTAACAAGTCGCAAGGCCAATCGCTTAGTGTTTGCGGGATCAATTTAGAAAACCATTGTTTTTCACATGGGCAGTTATACGTTGCGTGTTCACGAGTTGGGAAACCATCTGCTTTGTTTGTGTTAACGTCAGACCAAAAAACAAAAAATGTGGTTTACCAAAGAGCACTTCAATGAAACGGATAATTTGCGGACACGTATAATAACGCTTCGATTCAGTATTTACTTTGGATTCACTTTCATTTACTTAGAGAAGTTCAACTAAATAACACTTCATTTTTGTAATCGAAATGAATTCATTACTGTTGTGAAATGAAATAAAATGTTTCCTTTTCAAATATAAAACAAAAATAAAATTTTTCTTCATCTTTTAATCACCAAACGAATAGTTACATAAAACGAAGCCACCTGGTGGCGAAACGGAGTTCGCCGGGTTTGCTAGTACTATTATATATCTTATACATATGGGACTTCAAGTCATAATGCTTATGCATCATAGAGACCTATATTAATGCTTTGGTTACAAAGACCTTACTTTCATAAGTCCCTAATATAGGACTAGTCATTGGGTAACCTTACTACTAGCAGTCGCTCAGCCGAACACGCCATCTATAATGTATAACCTTGGGTATGTGTCTCCGGCAACGTCCCCTTATAAGGAAATATTAATTAAACACCTTCAGCAACTTAGAAATTTTCCGATTAATACAACTTAGACAATTTTCATCCTTTTTTTCTATTTTTTTTATAGAAGAGGGGGCAAACGAGCATGCGGCTCACCTGATGGTAAGTGACTAATGCCGCTCATGAACAACCGCAAGACCAGGGGAATTGCAGATGCATTGCCGGCCTTTTAGAAAGGTGTCATCATCATCATTACAGCCCTTCACAAGTCCACTGCTGAACATAGGCCTCCCCCAAAGAATGCCACAAAGCACGGTCCTAAACCATCTGCATCCATCGACTTCCTGCATGTCTTACCAGGTCGTCACTCCATCTCGTGGGGGGACGCCCTATACTTCGCCTACCGGTACGGGGCTGCCACTCGAGAACCTTTCTTCCCCATCGGTTGTCGGTTCTTCGAGCTAAATGGCCGGCCCACTGCCACTTCAGCTTACTAATCCGTTGGGCTATGTCGGTCACTCTGGTTCTACTGCGGATATCCTCATTCCTAAGTTTATCACGCAGAGAAACTCCGAGCATAGCCCTCTCCATAGCTCGCTGAGCGACCTTGAGCTTCCTCATACGGCCAGCAGTGAAGGACCACGTCTCAGTTCCGTAAGTCATCACTGGCAACACGCACTGGTTGTACAATTTCGTTTTAAGGTTTTGAGGTATGTCTGACGAGAAGATGTGTCGTAGCTTCCCGAACGCTGCCCAGCCGAGTTGAATCCGTCGATTGACCTCTCGGTCGAAGTTGGACTTACCTAGTCGGACTATTTGTCCCAGGTAAACATACTCGTCAACAACTTCGAGCTTAGTGCTCCCAACAACTACCGGCATAGGTGTGACATGGACATTAAACATGATCTTTGTTTTGTCCATGTTCATCTTAAGACCTATCCGTTGGGAAACACTATCGAGGTCATTGAGCATAGTGCTTAGGTCCTTAGAAAGGTGTAAGCTCTTTTATTGAAAGTTCCTAAGTCGTATCGGTCCGGAAAATTCGCTGGTGGTAATTGATTCCACAAGGAAGTTGTGCGAGGGAGAAAACTTCTTTTAAGTCGCACAGTGGTGGACCACCAATCATCCAGATGGTATGGATGGTAACGCGAGTTTTGTCGCGATGTGCGATGGTGAAATTGAGCGGCTGGAATTAGTCCGAACAATTCCTTAGAGCACTCCCCGTGATAGATGCGATAAAATACGCAAAGAGATGCAGCATCTCTACGCAGTGCCAGTGTATCGAGCCGATCAGAAAGAACTCGGTCGTCGACGATTCGAACCGCTCTGCGCTGGATGCGGTCAAGTGGAAGGAGCTGGCACATGGAATACTATTCTCATCTCTGTGCCCCGGCCCAGAGATGAGAATAGTATTCCATGTGGGGCCAAACTTGCGCTTTGTAAAGTTGCAAGCGATGTGCCGGCATGAAATACTGTCTCGCTCTGCTGAGCACGCCAAGCTGAGCTATTATATTAAAAATGTTATTTATTTTTATTATTGCAATATAATCAACATGTATTTATATGATTTAATACATTTTGAATATTTTAACCATAATTTTAATAAATTTAGAGATTTTTTAAAGACAATTTATGCTTTAACTATACTATAATATTCATAATTCCAAATGAATATATTTGATTTAATACTTAATATTGCATTTTAATTGATCAAAATATAATTTTTATGGCATTTTTAAATGTCTTCATATAGAATTTAATTATTATTTATTAATAATAATTATGAAGCGTCATACCAACTTTAATATAACGGACTGCCGCAAAGTAACGCCTGATTCTGTTGAAGATCCTTTGTTTTATCTCAATTACTTATGCTCTGCTGTGGATAGGTTTTATCGTACACAACCATGTAGAAGCGGTGTAAGAACATCCACTACCCCGTATTTTCCCGTGCGTGTTGTAAGAGGCGACAGAGGGAAACTGTTGTATATCCTAGTATATGAGCAGTAGCATCTTCCTGATAGCAGCAGATTAAAAATTAAAAAAAAAAACCGTGGTTACTAATCCGCTTGTCGAGCGTGGAATTTATAGCAAATATTCCTAAAATGAGGTTAATGTATGGGAGAAACCTATGTTGAGCAGGGGATTAGCGGTAAAGGTATAGAACCATGCCCCTTTTATTATTTTGCAACAGTACCATACACTGGTATATTAGTTTTAAATTTTGTGTTGAATTTTATTGAATAACTTGCTTCTGCTTTGTCTATGTACCCTACTTTCACTTCTTAAAGAATATTATTATTGTATTTTGGGCCATCAGTAAATTGACGAAAAAGGGATTCTTTTCCAGAGTTTTTTGACGGCTTTTTTCCGGTCGGCGGAATCTTATTTGGCAAAGGAGGTAAATTTTATGAAAATAAGTTTGAAAAAGGTTATTCAAATTTATTGCATCAGAAATAAAAAGTTCTTGCTTTATTATATGGTTTGAAAATAACGTTTTTGAAACACTTTTATTCATTCATTCTTTACAGCCTATAAAAAGTCTATTCCTAAATATAGGTTACCTAATATGGGGATTATTTTTAATTTGATTAAGATTGCCTTAGTTGCCACGATTGTAGCAACCGCAGTTTTCTATTATTTTGAGTTGTGAACGAAATTGGAACATAGATTAAAAGTTTGGTTTATTTGTATTTTCATATCATAATATATATTAAAACTCTACCACGACGATTACTGTACATTGATTTTTTTTAAATTGGTACAGTATACTATATTATTGATACAGATGTTAATACAATTTTTTTTGGAAACTATGTCTGCCAGTATGTATATTCTCTGCACACGTATCCCGCAAAAAAGATACAGAGGCGCTTTGCCATGTTTACATCAGCTCCCGTGTTATATCAAGTTTAAAAATATATTATATTACAATTTATTTTCTATTTTTGTATTAAAATAGTCACTGCAACCTAAACTATTAGTCCAAGTGTTATCTTAAATTTACGTGATTGTGACTCAAAAACGAAAATAACTTTTTATATAAATAGAATCAATTATCTAATTTAAATTAAAACCCGCGTCAATATAAACAAACTTTTATGAAAAAACGTACGTACAGTGCTTAGCGTAATATAGAACCGTGTAAAGGGTGAAATGAGAAAAAAGTTTGAATTGTGAAATAGTTACAAAGAAGAATTATAAACCAAACACTATATATTTAAAAATAGACCGGTATAATATTTAACTTAACAGCGACAATTTTTATGCAATAGCTTCATTCGATCAGAAGATAAAACACGAGCATTATGTAACGTAAATAAAGTTGTATATATGCGACATCTAACATCTAACATCAGAAGTGGGATAAATCCATGTTATCGCCATCGTCATGATCATCGTCATCGTCGTGATCATCGGCATTTTAATCGACATCGTCATAGGCATCGGCGTCATAGTCGTCATCGTCATCGTCATCGACATCGTCATCATCGTCATCATCGCCGTCGTTGTCGTCGCCGTCGTCGTCATCGTCAACGTCATCGTCACCGTCATCGTCATCGATTAACATCGCCAAGAAATGTTGAAGGTATCTAGATGAGTTTTGCATTCGGTGGAAATGTTACATTTAATATTTTCAAGCGAGGTGTGATTTACATGGGCTACATTTTAAAGTTCGAAATGTACCGGAAAAAATGTTTAACTTTAACGTGCTATGAATAAAAAAAATTATTAGCCTTTTTTGTGTTCTAATGTGTTGATGGTTGCTACAGTTTGCTCTGAATGTTGTGTAGTTGACAAAATTGCTTGTTTGAATTGAATTACTATGAGGATAGGATATTTGTGTAGCTGATCGAAGAGACAATGTCTTCCGCTCTATGCTTGGTCGAAAGGACACACCTGTCTAATCCAGGCTTATGACTGTTTGATTTTGAGATTTGGATGTCGAAAGGACAGTGTTATCCGGGCAATGCGTGGCCGAAAGGACACATCCGTCCGATCCATTCTTATAAATTGTAGAGTTACACTTGTCAAAGGGGCAGTACCGTCGAACGTTGTCGAACAGAGTACAGATAACAGTATCGTCCAGGCCAGATCCGAGCGGACGGTCGTAGGGGCATACTAGTTTGCAGTTGTATGAGATGGCTTGAGAGAAAGGTGCCGTCCGGTCTATGCGCAGTCGTAAGGACGTACGCTTTCGATTAATTGAGTATGTACTATATCTACAAGAGAGTATGTTTTGTTAAACCGTATCATCTATCGCTGCTAAAAGTACCGTGCAAGCTGTACAAAGAGCTGTGAGTATGTGTGTGCTTAATGGAAAGGCCAGTTGTACGGTCTATGTCGTCATATGAGATGATGACTAGTCGAGGGCTAGATTATCCGGTCCAAGTCATCATAGGGGATGATGGCTAGTCGAAGGGACGCCTTAGCCAGTGTTAGTTTGAATGAGACCAAAAGTAACCGCCTTGCGTATATGTGTGGGCTCCTTAATGTCCAAAGATAGAGACACTGAACCTATTCATGTCGGGATAGACGAGCTGAAGAAATGA